TCTCATCCTGTGACTCAAAACAAGTGTTTTCTCCTCCCTAAGGCTTTTCCTGATGCTGTCCTTTAGAGTTGACATCTCTAATGCAAGCTGCCATGCTCTGTGCACTGACTTCTATTAAAGCATTGTTTCACTGTAATGCAATTGCTTCTTGCTACATATTAATTTTTACTACCATACTCTCGCATTTTCTTAGGACAAGAATCATGGAATAATTACGCTATTTTTTCCAGCACCTAGCACAATGCTTGGAGGATACTAAATATATGTAAATATTTCCCAAATGAATCAATCAAGTTCACTCTTGCACTAGCAATCAAAATTATTTGTGTTTACATCACCCTGCAGAAATGGTCTGATCCTATACACGGAGGTCATTCAAAACACTCCGTAAAAGGGGTAGTCAAAATACAAAGTCTAATTCAATTGCAGGCAAAGACAATTTACTAAAACATGCATCCCAGGAGCTCAGGGACCTGTCTGGTTCAACACTCAGTGACTTGAACAGTGTGCATACAAAGTAGAACCCCCAAAGTGTTTGCAGAATGGCTGATAGGTGAATAAATGTGGTGAAAGGTCTGAAACAAGCATGTCTTAACCCTAACCTGAGTTTTGCTAATGATTTCTTGTGAGGCTGAGTAAACAACTTAGATTGCACAGCCTTATTTTCCCCATCAGTGAAAATTATCAGAAGTATTACAGACTTCAGTTTGAGCCCACAAAAAAATGTAAGGGTAAGGGAGTGAAGGCTGCAAAATTGCGTCTAATGAGTGTTCACTCCATATAATGATCACTGGGTGTTTTCACAGAAAGACCTTAAATGGCTCTTAATACACTAGCAAGTCTACTCTAAAGGGATAGTCCACCTAAGCCTCAGGCATCGTGTAGCAAGACAGAAACGCAGAAATAGATTTCAATTAACATACTGTGTGGATTAGTAGTTATAAGACATATATTTAGTATCCTCCAAGCATTGTGCTAGGTGCTGGAAAAAATAGCGTAATTATTCCATGATTCTTGTCCTAAGAAAATGCAAGAGTATGGTAGTAAAAATTAATATGTAGCAAGACGTAGTGAGTTAGACTGGGGGTAAGAAAAGGCAAGCACGTAAGAAGAATCTAAAGAATGGCTTCGAAAAAGGAGCAACTTTTTGTTGTAAAACGAGACATCTTTAAACTTCACTGGCATGTTTCGGGGTCTGTATTTATGCTAATATGATACCAAGGAGAAGGCAGAGTGAAAACATAAAATTGTAAAATGTTGGGAATGAGTTACACAGAGTTATTTCGAATACACTTAATTTTACAGAGAATATAGTCCCTACAAATTAGAGAGTAGGTTCTTTGATTAGAATATCAGTCCCTTGAGAGTGGGTATCACGTCTTACTCTACGTTACATTCCCAACACTTACGACGCTCATTGCAGCCCTTAGAACAGAGACGCCCAAGAAACTTCTCAGAAATGAATAAATGAGTAGAAAAGGCCTGCGTGGGGTTCCTTCCTTTCTTGTCCTTCTCTTTAGGCTAAATACCATAAATAACACCCATTCTTGGCTCTGCAGTGTGAAGTAGCTTCTTGGAAATGCAAGCTACCAAATGTATTTGTGCCAAAATTGTAAGCAGCTCCTCGGCACTTTGGCACCGAGAAGAGGGTGCTGTTGATCTGCCTGACGTGTTGTGACGGTCTGTGCTGGTTCTGTCCCAGCTTTTAAGGATGGAAAATAATTCAGCAAGCTAAGAGGAGAAGAGGAACACAAGCAGAGCTGCCTGCCCTTTTAAAAACGATCGTTAAGAGCTGGACACTGACTTCACCGTTAGGTTTGCACAGGATCGTTGTACAATCTGGGCTTGTCCTAAACCTGTTTTGCTCTTTCCAAAGAAAATCTGACGGTGGCTGATGCTCTGCTTCAGAGGCTGCTGCCCAGACCTGTAAGAAGACACTCTGTTAATGACAATCGCCATTGGAGTTCAACATAGTTTTATAAATGTCAGAGAGTTATTGCCAATGTATTTTCCTAAACAGACGAGGTTTTAAAATATGATGACTGTATAATATGGAATGTCAAGCTGTGTAACTGAACAGCTACCGTATGTGGTTTAACGGAAAGCGTTACGAAAGAGGGGGGAGCTCTCCAGCATCACCTAAGCAAATCCTCTCTTTGTTGCTCTTTTAAAGTTTATGTTTGTTTAGTCTTAGAAACTTAGGCATTTCATTTTGATAGTTAAATTCTAAAAACAGAAAGTACTGTACACCAAATTGAAGAAAGCTACGGACAGCTAATTATGGGTATTAATTTACATCCAGAGATGGATGAAGTGGCACAATTAACCACCAATGACCAAAAAAAAAAAAAAGAATCACATTTAACAGAGAGATCTAGGGATGGAGAAACCACTGGTACTAAGCCACAGTCTGAGCGGATAAATGAGTTCTAGTTCACAGTCTTTATATCTTATACTCACTGTTACTGTGGAATTGGCCTGCATCATGATATTTGGAAGGAATCGGTACAAGGAGACCATTTGTCCGTTTACATTTTGTTGGAGAGTATGGTTTCCAATCTGCAGTTCTTTGTCAAAGGAAGAGTTAATGAGCTTCACAAATAAACCCTTGACATTCACTTCAGCTATTTTAATGTCTCCAAGAGCACTAGAAAATAAAACATAAGGATTATAAGGGAGTGTGTCTGTAGCTCATTTTAAGAACTGAATATGCCTTGGAACTTGTTCCTAAGCTGTATAGTCTGCTGGACAAATTCTACGTGGAAATAGTGGTATTTTGACCCCAAGCAAATGGCTTAATTTCTTAGTTCTTTTTGTTTATCTATGCAATAAAATGATCTTTCACATAAAATAGTTATAAAGAAAACAAAAAATTATTTAAGTATCAAGGTAAACACACCATAGGGAGGTGCAATTATCATTATTTAAATTTCATACTGTTTCCCATAAAACCACTGAGACATGAAACTCTCAAGTAAATCAGGAGGAAAGTTAAGCCATTTAGTTTATTTCTGATAAAGTTACTGTGGACATGAATAGCAACTATGTACTTAAAAATAATTCTGAAAACTTAAAATCTTATACAAGATGGTGTTTTTTTCCCCTTCTAACATGATGAGAGCTTAGTATGTACCAGGGGCCAATTACAGTACAGCATTTAAATATACACACACATTTTTGGAAGACGGATTATGCTTTTATACAGGTAAGAATAGCTGAGTTGTCCCTTTGTGATCGTATATGTAATTGGATACATACAGCTTTTCAAAAATCTTTCATTGTTCAAGTGGATTGTTTATTCATTGATCTTAAATTTTTATTTAATTTAATTTTTTTTTATGCACACAAGTAGGATAGATTAGCTTGTCTGAAATAAAAAGTATCATTGTCCATGTCAGGGCTAGTCACTTCATTTGCCTTCCTTTTGATAGAAGGCCAAAAGTTACAGGAAAATACTTCGCACAATATGTGGAAATTCACAGAGGCAGGGCTGTTAACCTGCTATCACACAACATTTAGTAGTTATCTTTTTCTTTTTCCTGTAAGCCTTCCCATTTTTATACAGTAGGAAAATGGCTTGAGGTCTCTGCTTATACGTTGCAACTGGCTAAGTATAGAGTAACGTACCCATCAGTGTTGTCAGTAGCCTCTGCATGGTCTTGACTTACAGACCGTAAAGACAAATGGCTATGTTGCTTTAAAAAAACCAACCATTTTCTTATTTGAGCTCTGATTTCTCTAGCTGTCAGGTTCTCTTTGATAGCTCTGTGCTACTTATCTGCCTTAAGGTTTCTGCTGCTCTAAAGCTACTAACTTATCTCTAACATTTCAGTTCTTTCAACATGCATCTACTTAACATTCTCTGTAAACACTGGCACTTGTGTTTATAGTTGCCATTGACACAAGGAAAGACAAAGACCACATGACCACTTTTTCTACATCAGATGCAGAGAAAGCATTTGACAAAATCCAACATCTTTTCATGATAAAAATTTTCAAAAAATAGGTAAGGAAGGACTGTATCTCAGCACAATAAAGGCCATAAATGAAAAACCCACAGCTAACGTCGTAATCAACTGGGAAAAACTGAAATCTTTTCCTCTAAGATCCAGAACAAGGCAAGGATGCCCATTCTCACCACTGCTATTCAACATAGTACTGAAAGTCCTACTCAGAGCAATCAGGAAGAGAAAGAAACAAAGGGTGCCAAGTTATAAGAAAAAGTAAGTTATCTCTGTTTGCAGGTGACATAA